ATATATATATATATATTTTAATATATAAGAGGAGCTATAAGTACAAACTTGAATAACAAAAGAAAGTTAATTATATTAAAATGCATGCAAATATGAAAAAATAAATCTAAGAAGGAAGTGAATTATAAATAAAAATGCCCTTCAATAATGAAAAATCTCTTTTAGCAAGATTATCAATTATTTGATTAATTTTTTTAAGATACGAAAACAATCAATATGTTAATCTAAATTGACCGTACACTACTTTAATACAATAATCTCTTAATAATTTAAAAACGAGTCAAAAAACATGATAAAATCATTTCATAAACTAATAAACATAAACAGTTTATGGAAATTAGGTTTATTTTCATTAATATAGTTTTTTTAATAGAAATTAAAGTGTTAATTATAAACACTATAAATTTATATTAATAAAGTGTTAAGAAATCGAAAATGTTCTTCTTAGTCTAATTGTGCGTGTGACTGAAGATCAAGCAACAAAGTCATGCGAAACTATTAGATAGTTTTATTTTCCATGTTATGAAATTGAGACTAAATTTATTATAAATTATTTTTCTTATGGAATATTTAATGACAGTTTAATCAGTCGCTAAATGAGACTGATAACATGTGCTAGCTAGTAGGTGACCAACTTTGCGACTGATAATGCTGAGATGCAATTATCGCTATTGGTTATTAATATTGAACCTATCAGTTTTGAGGGTGTTATGAAAAAAATGTGAGGAGAGAAGCAAAGAAAGAATTGAAAGCCATTGAAAGAAATCAAACCTTGCGAATTAGTTAAACTAGCAACAATGAATAAGCAACCAATAGTTGTTAAGAGAATGCTTAAAGTGAAACACGAGTCTGATGTATTAGTTGCAAAATACAAAGGAAGATTGATTGTGCAAGGGGTTCTTATGGGGAGCGATCTCGGATTACTGAAAGGTTTTTGCAATTGTAACAGTGAGATTGGTGGGTAGCACTAACTAATTCCAAAGGGTGGTAGCTGTTTTAACTAAATTCCACACCCCTTTAATTCTAATTGCCTAATTTCATGAGTCTATAAACATTATTATCTTCTTCTCCCTTCACTTTAAATCTGAGGTTAATGGGACACATGAACCTCAGATTTAAAATAGCTATTGGGACAGTGTTATGGTTGTTAAGTGAAGAATACCTTGAAGACTAGTCGATGTGCAACTATTTGGTTGAGCATAAATATACATGTATTCAGTAAATATACTTTCATTCTCTTTTGGATCGTTCCATGGGTTATACATGTTGAATATTTGAGTCAACTTAGACTCTTAAGTGCCACGGTATACAACATAACCAACGTGTACGCTATATTTAATCCAATAAAAATCTGCACTCTAGTCTATCTTGTTATTTCTGCCATCTAGTTTTAGTTTCTCTAGCCTTCTAGCTTCCTCCAAATTAATTGATAACAGGCAACCCTCCATCGATCCAATTCACAACCCAACCAATTAGTTGGAGAAAGCAAACATCGTAACATAACATAATATGTCATCAACAAGATCATGGGACCATGATGAGTGCATGCGCTACGATACAGATGAAGAAAGCTCGATCTGCGGTTGCGGTTTTATAGGGTTCAAGAGAAACCAAGTGATAGATTGCAGCCTCAGCCAGAGTGAGATAGAAGAAGATTCAGAAGAGTTGTTTGAGATCAATCTGAATAAGGAGCCTTTGGCTTTGGATACAATAAGAGAAGACTGCGAGAGCACCGTGTTCTCTCTTGACATTAACAAGGCCAAAGATGTTGTTTATGTGGCAGTTGGCAACGACGGAGATTCAAGCATGGAAGCTCTTTCATGGGCCTTGAAGCATGCCGTGACACCCTCGGCCACCGTTTGTCTCCTACACGTTTTCCCTCAAGTCAACCTCATCCCAAGTCCATGTAATTAGTTCCTTTTCTCCTCTTTTTGTCTTTCTCTTCGATGCTATATGCTGATAGTCAAACAAGTCACTTTCCCCGTATAAAATGGGTTACTATTTGTTTGTTTGTACTTGACTTACAAACCCAGAAATATGTAACAGTTTTAATTAATAATTTGTTGCTTTATCATGCCCAGATTAATGTTCTTAATTAATTGAATATTATAGATCAGCAACACCCATTTTTTCTGTTTGGTATTTATTATACTGTGTTCAATGTTTAATAATGTACAGTGGGAAAAATTCCAAGGAGTCACGTAAATCTAGAGTATGTTAACATGCACTTGACACAAGAGAGAGGCAAGAGGAAATTACTCCTTCAAAAGTTCATTGACCTCTGCGTTGATTCCAAGGTAAAGAAATCCATCCTTAATTTGCTTGAAGATGGATTCTAATGATAGTGACATTAATTACTATTGTACAGGTTAAGGTGGATATGATGCTTATTGAGGGTGACAACATTGCTAAAGCCATCATGAACCTTATTGGAAATCTTAATATAAGGAAATTGGTGGTTGGAATTGGCAAGTCTAATTTAAGGTACCGTGTTTGCGATCCATATATGTGCATGACACTAAATTCATAGTAACAGCATTTTCTAATTGCTTTGTTATTTGGATGGGTAGAAAATCTATGAGTAGAAGGCAAAATGCCATAGCGGCCAAGGTATTAAAAAATGCACAGGAAAGCTGTGACATAAAAATCATATGCGAAGGAAGAGAAGTGATCGACCAGATGATTTGATTGCACTTCGTCACGCTCCATTGACGATCGGAGTTCAAGAGTTTCACAGGAAAAAGATGAATCCCGTGGATCTGTCCCACTTAAGCATTTTATGTCCAGTTCGTTATGGTTATTTAGGTTCATCACCTACATGAGATGAGTAAATATTAAATATGTATACGAAGGAAAAGGAGGAAGAAGAAGAAGAAAAAGTGCTAGTGATTAAGTTTGCTCTCATTAATATATTCTTAGTTTAATATATCAATTTGTTAGTTCAAATATTATAGGGTTTTTTTTTATTCATCAGAAAGTTAAACAAGCAAAACATAAAGAAACTAGTGGAACCTAGTACTAGTCGAATATTATTACAGGTTTAAATTAATACAAGAACGATGTAATTGTATCCTGACACTATCATACACCAATGGTGTGTATCAAATTTTTATATCTATGAAATTATCTAACACTGTGGTATAAATTCAAACATTTTATATCAATAATTTAATTAAATTAAAGTTATACTGATACTAGCGAATAAAAGGTATTTTATACCTCTGAATTATTTTTAAAAATAATAAATAATAAAAATTATATAATAGTAGGCTGTTATTAAAAATATAGGAGATGACTATTTATGAAATGAAAGAAGTTTAGAAAGTAAAATATATGTGATCAGTGAATTAAAAATAGTTATAAAAAGAGAAAATGATTCAAGAAATGTGTATAGAAAAAGTTTATCGTTATTATTATTGTTATAAATTATAGATAAACAAATATAACAACTTTTATTTTGCAGTGAATTCTTTTTTAGATAAGTGATTAATGAATAGAATAGTAGAATGTACAATATAACTTCGTAAAAAAAATCAATTTGTAAGTATTAAAATCAGTAAAATAGATATGATAACTTTTTCCAAAGGTATTTTTGATAGTGAAGGGATAGGGGCAAAGGGAGGGGGGACCTTCAGAGGTTATAATGCCCCCCTCCCCCAACCCATTTTTTTTAAAATGTGTCAAAATTACTTAAAAGAATATTTTTGGATCTCTCTAAATTTTTTTAAAAAAAAATTATAGATTGATATATAAAAATTATCGTATTAGTATATGCTTATGAAAAAAGAGAAATATATATAAAATTGATATATAATATAATAAAAAAAGAGATAAAAAGAAGTATAAATAATAATAAAATATTTATAATATCAGAATATTTGCATATGAATATTTAAAAAAAAAAAGCCTAAAAAACATAATGTTCTGGCTACGTCCCTGATGAAGGCTTTTTGTTTTCTTGAATCTGTTAGGCTAAAAATATACCGGTTACCGGTTATATTACGCAGAACCCAATTAGTTAAAAAAGGAAATTAGCTTGTACGTATACCAACCATTAAAACATATGGATATAAAATTTTGGATAAAATGAACACTGTCTGTACATTTACCTTATATGCGTCTACCTGACTCCATATTAAGAGATGAATGTGTTTGCCTGAAACATGATTTCTCGACTGTTGAAAACACAATTCAAGTATAACATACAAACTCTTGTCTCTTTTCACTGGATACAATGGTGATAACTGATAATGAATGGAATCATTAACCTTACACAAACAACGAAAACCCTTCATTACTAGGTCAATCGCAGCTCCAATGGTTTAATCCCACCCATGAACATCATTTATTATTCAATTGACCACATATACATTTCATCTATTAACAAAACCTTAAAATGGTATTATTGGTGGTTCAAATAGATGAACAGATTGTTACATCGTAATATTTTCTATTAAATTGACTAATATATATATATATATATATATATACACACACGTGTGTCAGAGAGATAAGCATTGAAAACTGAAGTAAACAAAAAAATAAAATAAAAATAACACCAACTGTGAAGAGAGAATACAAATGCGCAATGCAATTGTACCGAACATTTGCAACGACAATTACCTGTCTGCATGTATGGCGGCGAGGCTTAGCACTCAAATGGGAGCTGTTACAAACCGTATAGTGCCCACCTTTTGAAAGTATTGCAAAGGAGAAAATAAACTATCTAAACCATTATACATTCTAGTTGATGTTCATGTCTATAGAGGAGTGTATTTTGCCTTTTCCACATTTCCCACTGGTTTCCTAAAGCCCAAATTCCCAAGGCATTGTCGGTTAGTAGGGAAAATTTCTTTGAAACCTCGGACATGACAGAGAAGCCATGCATTAATTATGCATACAAATATAAAAATAAAACTGCAAAAAGCCAATAAAAACAAACATACAATTTCTCATCATCGGTTCCTTAAACATCGAAAAAACAGTTCCTCCCCTAACAGAAACCTTTTGGAGTCAATGTTGTATATATCCCTAGAAGAAATCAAACTCAAGGTAATTATCAGAACCTTTCTGATTAGGTATTGACATATGATGTACAGCCTTTTCGCTGGCTGATGAAGCTGGGGAAGGTATCTTCTCAAACTCCACTGGCTTTGGGATCTCTGGCGGGGTAGCACACCGGATCAATGCCCAATTCACACCTTCAAAAAAGGGATGTTGCTTAATCTCAGTAGCACCTCTTTTATATGCCAATCTGTGCTGAGGTTCCTTTACAAGCAACCCCCTTATAAGATCCCTAGCAGCAAAACTTACAACAGGTGCTTCTGGAAACCGCAGAGGCTGGCCTACAACATTAAACAATGTAGCACGGTTTCCAGATCCCTTGAACGGTGTTTTCCCAAACAACAGCTCATATAGAAAGATTCCAAAAGTCCACCAATCAACTGCACTCCCATGACCCTCACCCTTGATTATCTCAGGAGCCAAGTACTCGTGTGTTCCAACAAATGACATAGACCGCGCATCAGTAGGCTCTGCAATGAGCTCCGGTAATGGACTCACTTGGTTGCCAATTTCAGTTTTGGGTTTCCGTTCCTTCTTTGATTTGCTAGAAAAGAGCCGGGGTGAAAAGCATGTAGTAGGAGCAACACAGGATGGCTGGATGCAGGAAGGTGGCTCGATACATGCAGGCTGGACACAATATCCAGGATTCTTTCTTACAGGCTCAGAATCCATTGATGAGGTCTTAACAAGGGTTGGACTAACAGCACAACGGAGGGAAAGGTCAAAATCAGAGAGCATAATATGTCCATCATCCCTAACAAGGACATTTTCTGGCTTGAGATCACGGTAGACAATCCCAAGCATGTGGAGGTACTCCAAAGCTAACAGGACCTCTGCCACATAAAATCTGCGAGAGGAAATTAACAGTTGCAACCATCAAATTAAATTATGATCATGGCCAAATTAGGTTAGACCACCCAAAAAGATAAACAAGAAAAGAATCAAGACCAGGTGTAAGGGGTATCAGACATTGTACTAGAATCCTAGAATAGGAAATAAAAGAGAGCTGTAGTTAAATTAAGTTGTTTCATTATTATAATTACAATTAAGATTTGTACCTGGTTTATTTTCTCACAAGCAAGCTTCTACAACTGCATTTAGGTTTAAACCCCAGTTTCATTGCTTGAAGACACCCATTATTCAACTTCCCACAATTACATTAATTCATCTGAAGTTTCAAAGATTGTCTTTTGCTGTTTTTGTTGCTACTTATTTTGTTTGGACATTTCAGAAGAATTAAAGGTCATCCATAACAAACAAAATAACTTGTTATCAGGTCAAAGTCAAACATTGTCTAGAATAATAAATTATTTGACTTAATAGGCAACTAAATAAAGAAAACTGGTAGCATGATCAACAAATGAAACAGATGACAAGTTAGACATACATTTGTGTAATGTTTGACATTACACGTATTGGATCCCAGGCTCAAAACTCAATATTGGCTCATGACTACCATCCAAGTAATCAAAGCATAGAATTAGAATTCAATGAATTGCCCAGGGAAATTTCAAAAATGATAGAAAAAGAAAATTAAGGTGATTGTAAGCACAATATCTAGAAACAGGGTATGATGCTCTAATGTGAATATGTAATTATGTAAAGACTCAAACATAGCTTTTTTTTTACCAAGCCTATAGCAACAAGACACTGAGAATTGAATAGAGACATGTATTACAGCCAGCAAGAATGAAACAAAATAAAGAATTTTTAAGTTTAACATACTTCACTGCTTGCTCGGGAAAATACTTCCCTGGCTGCCTCTGCCTAAGAGTATGCAAGTCTCCACCTGGGCAGAATTCCATTACCAAACATGAGAACTTCTCTGTGTCAAAATGGGTATACAGAGTTGGGAGGAAGGGGTGGTCCAACGACTGCAGTATTTCTCTTTCTGTCTGGGCACGGAGTAGTTTTTTACGACTAGCAAGGGATCCTTTGTCCATTACCTTCATTGCAAAATAACACTTAGTTCCACTCAATTCAGAGAGATATACACTGCCAATATCCCCACAACCCAACCTCTTCAGTAGTCTGAAATGACCTAAACCCAATGACCCATCCCTAGTTCGAATAGCTTGAATAGCTTCCCATCTCAAATCATTTGCCTTGTGGGGCTTGTTAATGCCACTACTAAAACTGCTACAAGAACTTTCATCACTCATATCACTGCTTGTACTTCCTCTGCAAATACTGCTCTTACCACTCTCAACAAAATCAGCTCGATCACTAATCTTGGCACTTCCACTAGTCTTTGCAAGACTGCTAGCCCCATCGCTAACTTTAGCAGAAACAAAACTGCTCTTCACACTTCCATATTCTGATGTCTTTCTTTCTTTGTCAGTAAAGCTTTCCTGCAAGCCTTTGCTCTCATTACCAGCACGGTCAACTTCTCCAGATGCTGGGTCAATAACAGGTACAAAAGCACCAGAAGGTCCAGAACCACGTTTACTACTCAAGGAATCAGCAGACCCCTTTGGTTTTGATATTCCCAACTTCTTGTTTTCCGAAGTTTCCCCAGTTTTCTGCTTGGATGCGCTTTGCATGGAGTTCAATGAACTTTCGGAAGCAGCCAGTTCAGGTTTGCCTGTCTTCTGAGCCTGCAGTGAACTAGGCTTGTTGTCTTTTGTTTCTACAGTTTGGATCCCTGACAGCTTCTGATGGTGTTTCGGGGGAGCCACAGCGCTAGTTTTAGAGTCCATCATAGACGATAAACAGTTTCAGTGGAGATCAAATATACCAAATCCATGGCTGAGCATCCATTTAGTTCTTCAACAATTAAAAAACAACCTAGCAAGCACGTCAATACCATCAAGAAGTTGTCAGCCATTTAACTGCAGAAAGATATGGAAAACATGCTAGGTTTAACAATAATCTTTGTACAGTGATTGATCTACCAATCTATTACCAAAGAAGCAAGTGATAAGCAACAATACACTCAGCGTAAAAAAACAAACAGATTCAGTAATCAATAAAACAACACAACTGCGTGATATATTAAAACATCTAGATTCTAGACCCACACGTAATCAAAACACCAACGGAAACCTCAAATACTAATACCCATGAACAAATAGTGACACGACAACCTATGACCCGGTTGGTGAACAAATTCCTTATATCCTGAAAAGACTAACCCTTGTGGCGTAAAAGTTGATGCAGAGCATGGTGAAATTAGTAAAGCACAAACAGTGGCCAAGAGTTGTTGGAGAAGAAAAAGGTAGGGTAAGAGTGAAATATTTTGAAGGGAAAAATAGGGTGAAGAGAAAGGTGGTTTAGAGGGAAATCTGGAGCAGATCCGAAAGGGGGTAGCGGAGGGAGATGGAGAAAGTGAAAGTAGAGAGAGGAGAAATGCAAAGAATGAAAGGAGAGGCAAAAAGAATACCTAATTTGAAGGATGTTGGCAATGGGGAAAACACTGTAGAGAAAGAGAGAGAGAGAGAGAGAGGAGTCAAAGGTAAAGCTTATTTTTTTGTGATGCAAATGCAAATGCAATGATTTCATTGGTTTTTTCCTTTTGCTCCAAATAACTTCTCAAGCTCCTGCACCTCTCCATCATGCCGCTGCCCAAATAGTGTCAAAATTCTTTACTATTACAAACAGAATTAGTTTTTTTTATCCAATAACCAAAATTGTGGAAGGGTCAAGAAAATAAATAGTTCTCCGATACAAAATATTAGTTATTATGATTATGTTTGCATGAAATCATATGATGGAAACAGAAATTCGACATCAAGATTTTGACTACCAAACTGGGTGCCTACTTTTCAATTACAGGCAATAAAAAATAAAAATCACTAAAGATTTGTAAATAAAGAAAAACATTTAAGCATTGGACCCATGGTGGATGTGAATGTTTGGATTATCCAATGAAAAATAGAGGTGTATTAATGAATCATCCAAGCTATAAGTTTGGGTGGTCCATCTAACAACGGCCATTACTGCTTTTGATTGTGTGTGTAGTAAAAAGAAGGGGCTCCATATTAATTGTGAACATAGGAATTATGTGATGATAAAGAACACATAGGAATTATGTTCAAGTGATGTTGTAAATAGGAAAATCCTTCGTTTTTATTTACGAAATTTCCGTAATATTGTTATCGTAGCAATTAATTTCATTATTCTGATTGTCTTTGCTATACAAACCAAGAAGGGTCCAACTTCTAAATGCTAGCTATGTCAGATGGGACAAGGAATCACACAAGGATCACTCAAACCATATATCTCTATATGTGAGAGTGAGAGTGAAAAGACAGAGATTATGTTCTCACTATTAATATAAATGAGCCTTTTATCCAAAGAGTTATACTGAAAACCTAAGAAACTGATTGCACAAGAATAGAAAGTTTTAGCATAGTGGTTCTTTGGGTGTGTTTTTCTTCCTCATAATCAAAGTGGTTTAGATTCATTTCCCACATGAACCACCAACTAGCCAGAATACTTGAGTTTAATCTTTTTGGTGATTTAGATAATTTAAAGATAAAATTTATTAATATAACATTTTTCTACATCCTATTTTATACTTAAGAAAGAAACAAAAAGAAGTATAAAAATTATATCACTCTACTCATCATTATTTTCCAGAAAGCATTCAGGTCTCTCAATGGCACATCCACAAACACTTATTTAACCTTATTTTGTCAACCAGGATGAGATATGCAAGCAAAAGGGTGTCAAGTAAGCAAACACATAAATATGTTTAAATACAAAACAACTAACCTTTTTTACCTAAAAATTAGTTTATGGATATAAAGACTATAAAATTATTGAGATCTGTCACTATAACTGTTTGCTGTAATCTCCACTACAAACATTCAACAGCACATAGAAGCATCCCCCAGTACTCTATTTTTTTTTCCTTCAAGATATGACCAGGCATGTCCCTTTCAAACATCCATGAATTGTTTCTAAGGCTTTCTTTGTAACAACTTTTTTTTTTTTTTTTTTTTATCGGTAATATATTATTTTTTTAGATTAGTTATATCGTGTCCGAACAGTTTGAGGCTTCATGTAACCCAAAAATGTCAATTAATCCATTTTGAGTAGGACTTTATTCAACCAATGCGTTGTTTGATTGTCAATTTCGTTGTCTAGTGTCATTGAACCATGCATGGGGGCAATGAAGAGGAGTTTGTGACTTTCAAGTTTCAACTTACGGAATTAATTCTATATCACAAAATAAAAATATGGAATTAAAATTTGGTTAAGCAGGTTTTCAATTGTCTTTATTATTATTTTTTATTCATAAATATTATTTACATTCTCTTCTAATGATTAATTTATATTTATGAAACGTGAATTCCGTTTGATATAAGAATTAAATGGGAGTACTAAATTGATTTTATGTTATAAAATTGATCTTAAAACTATTGAATCAATATGTTTGATTTTTCTTTTTATTATAAATATATTATTATTATTAACCAACCTTGATCTCAATCTAATTAAAAGCAAAGCAAGGACTTCACGTTTCTTTTCGTTCCTCTTTTGTCTTGTGTCACAAAAACACTTCATTTTCATTGTTTCTTGCATCTTCCCGGCCCCCTCCCCCATCAAAGCAAACTTGAAAGAGAAATTAAAATTAATTTATTATTGGTTAAATAAAACTTTATTTTGGGCAAATGTTATTTTTTTTTCTATATTCATTACGAGAAAATGCTAAAACTTTCAAACCTAGTCAAAATTTATATGAGTAAAAATTTTATTTGATCCATGAAAGATGATGGAGGTAGTCAATATGTTTTTGAAATATTTTTTTTGTAGTATTTGGTTCCCTAAATTTTAATTTTATTATGTAAATTCGACCTTCCGTTATATTAAGTTATTGACTCTATTAATTTCTTGAACAATTAGCAATTAAATGTTAGGCTAACACCTATTTTATTTTTTAATTGGTTGTTTTCTACCCTATTTATCTAATATAAATCATAATACAATGTTCAGATACTTTTCAATCAAGTAATGAATATTTTGTTATGTTTAAATATTCTATACCATGAGTACTTTAGTTAAAATAGAAGGTTATTATTAGATTTCATAAGATTTCCTATAGTTTAATTTTGTCCCAAACATCTTTAATTTCTTTATTTGTTTTGACTATAGGCTTAGGATTATAAATCTTAAATTATTGAATTTGGAGTTTAATGAAATAAGTGATCATTTTGAAAGATCTTAGACATGAATGCATCAATCAAATATGAGTGTTTCTACTATGTTTAATGAATTACAAAATTCCTCTAATAGAGAAAAAAAAAACTTAATGATAATGGAATTAGGTAGAAATAAATAAGTCATTTAAACGTCACCTTAGTTATTTTAAAATTAAATTAAAATTTAAAGTTTTACATTATCATGTGTCTAAATCTACTTAATTTGTAATTGTTGCTTGTTTATGTATCAACGTCATAATTAACTATTGACTAATTATAAGGCTAATAAAATTAATGATTAAATATAACGAAATGACTAACTCGTATAACTAAATTGAAGTTTAGGGACCTAAATATCCAAAAATAAAAACTTTCAAGAACCTATCAAGCACCTTTATCATATTGGAGGAATCAAATTAAGTGTTTACTATTTTATATATATTCTTTTTGTCCTATTATAATTGTAATTGTTTAAAAAAGTAATCAATAAAATACTAAAACATACACTTATATATAAGAAGAAATAAGAATTTTAATTCAGTGAATATTAATTCTTAATGGATAAAATAAAGTGAAAAAAAAACATTTCAATAAATTATTTTGGATTAAATTTTGCTTCAACAATTAATATTGATAATTGAATCTATTTACTTGTATAATAATAAATTCCATTTTCGGAGACATATGCCCCGTTGTTATGTTTGAACTTTGATGTGAAATGGGCCTTGTGACTTGTGAATGGGGAGCCCAAAGATGTAAAAAATGGTTGTGGAGTAATGAGTAAGATGCAGTAGTAGGAAGTAGGAAGTAGGAAGTAGCAGAGGATCGTCCCCTCCTGCAATTACCCAAGCGATCTGTCTGATTTCCTAGGGTAGGCAGTAGGCTGCAATGAAACGCGCAAACGACGACGTCGCGGGGAAGCCAGTCTTCCTAACCAAAGCCCAACGCGAGCAATTGGCCCTCCAGCGCCGCCAGGAACAAGTCGCCCACCAGAGGCACCGCCAGGAGCAGCTCCTCTCCCGCGACCGCCCCTCCGATCCCAAACCCTCCTCGGAAAGGGACAGAGACAGGGACCGCGACAGGGACCGCGACCGTGACCGCGACCGCGACCGCGACCGCGACAGAGACCGAGAGAGAGCACGCGATAGGGAGCGCGAGGCGGAGCGTCGCAACCGAGAGAGGGAGCGCGAGGAGGAGAGCAAGGCCCGGGAGCGAGCGAGGATCGAGAAGCTGGCTGAGCGGGAGCGCGAGAAGGAGCTGGAATCGATAAAGGAGCAGTACCTCGGGTCGAAGAAGCCGAAGAAGCGCGTCATCAAGCCGAGCGAGAAGTTCCGCTTCTCCTTCGACTGGGAGAACACCGAGGACACCTCTCGCGACATGAACTCCCTCTACCAGAACCCTCACGAGGCGCAGCTCCTCTTCGGCCGCGGCTTCCGCGCCGGCATGGACCGCCGCGAGCAGAAGAAGCTCGCCGCCAAGAACGAGAAGGAGATGCGCGAGCAAATCCGCCGCAAGGACGGCCTCGAGGAGAAGCCCGAGGAGGCCGACGCCCAGCGCCGCAAGGAGGCCGCCGCCGACCTCTACGACACCTTCGACATGCGCGTCGACCGCCACTGGAGCGAGAAGAAGCTCGACGAGATGACGGAGCGCGATTGGCGCATCTTCCGCGAGGACTACAACATCTCCTACAAGGGTTCCAAGATTCCTCGCCCCATGCGAAGCTGGATCGAGAGCAAGCTGAGCCACGAGCTTTTGAAGGCCGTTGAGAAGGCTGGTTACAAAACCCCTTCTCCTATTCAGATGGCCGCCATTCCCCTTGGTTTACAGCAGCGTGATGTCATTGGCATCGCCGAGACCGGTTCCGGTAAAACCGCCGCCTTTGTCCTTCCCATGTTGAGTTACATCACCCGTCTTCCTCCCATGAGTGAGGACAACGAGGCTGAGGGTCCCTATGCCGTTGTCATGGCCCCCACTCGCGAGCTCGCTCAGCAGATCGAGGACGAGACTGTTAAGTTTGCTCAGTATTTGGGCATCAAGGTCGTGTCCATTGTTGGTGGACAGTCCATTGAGGAGCAAGGGTTTAAGATTCGGCAGGGCTGTGAGATTGTCATCGCCACTCCCGGACGCTTGATCGACTGCTTGGAGCGTCGATACGCCGTTCTCAACCAGTGTAATTATGTGGTTCTTGATGAGGCTGATCGCATGATTGACATGGGGTTTGAGCCCCAGGTGATGGGTGTCCTTGATGCCATGCCTTCCAGCAATCTCAAACCGGAGAATGAAGATGAGGAGCTTGATGAGAAGAAGATTTATCGGACCACCTATATGTTTAGTGCTACAATGCCGCCTGCCGTCGAGAGGCTTGCTAGGAAGTACTTGAGGAACCCTGTTGTGGTGACCATTGGCACTGCTGGGAAGGCTACTGACTTGATCAGTCAACATGTGATTATGATGAAGGAGTCTGAGAAATTTTACAAGCTCCAGAGGTTGCTTGATGAGCTTAACGACAAGACCGCCATTGTGTTTGTTAACACCAAGAAGAATGCGGATATGGTTGCCAAGAACTTGGATAAGGAAGGGTATCGCGTGACTACTTTGCATGGAGGCAAGTCCCAGGAGCAGAGGGAGATTAGTCTTGAAGGGTTTAGGACCAAGAGATATAATGTTCTTGTTGCAACTGATGTTGCCGGACGTGGTATTGACATACCTGATGTGGCTCATGTCATCAACTATGATATGCCTGGGAATATTGAAATGTACACGCATCGTATTGGGCGTACTGGTCGTGCAGGAAAGACGGGTGTGGCTACAACTTTCCTGACTCTTCAGGACACTGATGTCTTCTATGACCTCAAGCAGATGCTCATTCAAAGTAATAGTCCTGTTCCACCTGAACTGGCAAGGCATGAAGCTTCAAAATTCAAGCCAGGATCTATTCCGGACAGACCACCGAGACGAAATGACACTGTTTTTGCGCATTAGAGGGCTCTTTTTGTATTTTTATTTTTTGAGGTAGCCACTTCTTTAGAAGGCATCAACTCTGCAGGTAATATGAAGTTTTCTGGGGTAATGAACATGTTGCCAGTGAGGCTTAGCACCCTAATATGGTTTTATTGGTTATATGATCTTGTATAAAATTTAATTACTGCAGCCCTTCTATCCTGGTATCGGTGTCCTTGCTTGTATTCTGCTTAGCTAGAGTTACTACTATAACAGAAATTGATAGTTTTAGATGAGGATACTTGATTAATTTTGCCATTTGGCTTCGGTATTTGGCATCTTATGCTACAGTGCTTGTATTTTCTGATTCTTCTTGCTTAATACAGGCTGTGCTAAATTGTTGTCGCTTGTTTGATTATGTTTTGGTTTTTGCTTAAGACTTACTTTTTGTCAAATATGATGCTTCAGTTTTGGTTAGTTTCAGTTCTTTTTTCGGTGCCATTACCTTTACCTCAGCTTATGTATTATTAGTACAACTGCAGTCTTGTACCATTGCACCTTGTATTTTACACGATTCTTTTTAATTCATTAACATGCAAATTGCATTACAAATGTCGGTCTACTTTAGCTAGTACCTTTTGTCTCAGTCAGTTAGGCATATACATTGACATTTCTTTGGCGGTTGTCTGTCTTAAATATATAGCTGATGAGGAAAATGTCGAAATGGTGGAAACTAGTTATAAGAAATTTGATACTTTATCTGGTGATAGAAAATTGATAGCGGCAGATGTTGTGTTAAGTAATTAGATAGTAATTGGAATACCAGGATTGGATGATCATAGAGATATAATCATATCGGGATATATAAAAACTCCGGAAATAAAGTTATTAAGCTAAATAGGACAAAACTAATCTCGGCATGCTGTATAATTTTTTGCTGAAAGCAGAGTGTATATGTATTTTTACTCTAGTTTAAGATAGAAATGCTAGGGCAAAAAAGTTTTGACCTCTAGTAAGAGCCTCAGGAGCGCCAAAAAGCAGTAGTTGCCTTACTAAGGAAAGATATTTAACATAAAAGAAACCAGTAAAATATTTTACTAAGGAAAGATATTTTCCATAATCCACATAAATAACTACTCGAGCAAACTATTCATAGCAACGATAAAAGATAATTCAGCTAACAAAATCCAAAGCTGTATGCTTCTAAGAGTATCAAAGACCAACAAAACAACTGGTTATTCTTATAACGTTTGACTATTTATCTTTAGCATAATAGATTCATAGTTAGCTGGTTAGGCTTTCAGAATTTTATTCTTAACTGGTATAACTAAAGGTGCTAAAGCTGTGACTCACTTGAAATCTTGAACCAGAGAGGTTCTCCTAAGGTGCCAAGATGTACTGTGTTGGGAAGTTTTTAACAGGGGAGAGCATTTCACATAATAGGTAGTGACTAAGTCACAAAAGTGAGTTTGACACCACAACACAATCTAAAACCTTAAGACATTAGATAGGTGGGTTTTTTTTTTTTTTCCTTACTTATTATTCAACATGTCCAACTCTAATTAATGTGGGACTTCACTTTATACTTAAACTCTAACATACTGACTCTTTTTCGATGCCTTCGGCACTGTTCAAGTAGTCTGGTGTCTTCATGACTGTATTAAGTTATCTATTGTTGACTTACTTTGGATGCTTTGGTTTATTCTTCTCCAATATACCAGTCATTAATGTATCGTATTCGTTTTTTTATTTTGAAAAACTCTGCTTATTACTAATTTTCTTTATTGCAACCTTTTCCTTTTTTCCAAATGTACCCTATTCTGTATAAATTAACTTGAATGTATGTAGAATCTGAGTTAGACTAAGCTAGCATCCCGAAATATGATCAGCGGGGTGCTGGAAATCTCCGTCCAACTGGTAACCACTATTAAACTTTTTAACAACTTTACACACTTGTTATTTATGAGACATACGTAATTATTAGTATCACAAATGCATACCGATAATTGTATAGAATCACATTTACCATTAATTACTTGAGATGAAATATTAGCTTTATATACACGTCTATAAAATCATATAAAATGACTAACAGTTATATATGCCTCACAAGTAGGTATGTTGTGAAAAGACGTGTTCCGATTTCAAGTTTGTTATCATTGCTAGTGTCATCACATGAGGAATTATACATTTTTATGCTTGTTGGCTATTCCCGATTTTATTTTTGAGAATACAGTTTGATGGATTAAAAAAAGAGAAAGTTTATAATTATTCTTAGTCTCAATTTTTAAGCGACGATGATTTATTAACATATTAGAACAAATATGTTTAGTTTTTGATGATAAGGATCGGTAATTTGGATAAAAAATAATAATTAAGAAACTCTAAATGCCAGAAACATTCTAAAAGGTAATAGTATGCTCTTAACGTTGCACATACAAAGAGAATCAGAAATTGAGAATAGGTGCACTAAGAATGTTATCACAACCTTTGTTCCCGGGCTAAAACTTTATTTGCAACTTGTAGCCACAGTTTGAACGCAATCACTGTTCTAAGTCCTAACATAACCTTTGATTGTTTGTCAATTGTGGATGGAGATTGCACCCTTTATATTGTAATGATATTTATATTTCTAATAAACTAAAAATAATATTGGATATAATTTTTAAAATAATTGTTTAAAATCAACAAACTTACTTACAAACATTAACAGAGAGAAGGGTGGTGGGATATTATAAAGATTTTGATACTTGAGTCAGTTACAAGTTGAAATGAATATGAATTGAATAATAGACATGCGTTTATAAGAAGAGAGAATGTAAATTGAGATAAAATAATTCACTCTGGTTAAGGCATTATTAGTAAGGTTTTTATAATAAATGGTCTGACTAAAAATAGACTTTGTGTATTTAATATCAGGTTCTCTTTAATTACGAGTGTTTTTATTTAAGGATTACTAAATTTGTAGGCTTAATTATTAATGATGGAAAGGTGGAATGGTAAGATTAACAAAAAAAAAAAAAAGAGGTATGTTGATCGGACAATTTGAGTGTTAAAATTAATAATCTCACGTGATTGAGTAACAATGTAATTTATATATATATATAATAAGTCCATAAACTATTTTCTTCTAATTATCTTGCATAGTCCCGTAAAGTATTGCATATAATGGCTATCTTATGTTGTAAGAAAACAAATTATTCCTTTGTAAGTGCCGTTCCTTTGTATGTGGACCCAACTTGTAGAGAGGTGACATGGCATAACCATTGGATAAGGTAAAACAAGAGGCAGCCTCAATTTCATAACCATAATAACTGTCCACATGACATATTAACAATTCGACATCTATCTAATCTTTTGGATTACTGTATTTGTTAATTGTGAATTATTTGTTGAGCGCTACTTTGAGCATGCAATGCAATGCAACCGAAGAGTGGATTTGTTGAATAATGAATATAGAAAAATGAAATGTGGCGCATAGCATGGCATGACATAGTAGGTTTGATGATTGCAAGGTCACACAATTACAAAATGGGAAAGACAGAAAAACACTGGAGAGGGAAAGGGAGAGAGTGTCTGTTGTTATTGCTTCAACCCACGATTCCGCGTCTCCCTCCCTTTCTAATTTTGATATTCAAATTTTCCATTAATGAATATTCTTATTCATTCTTTATTTCCATCCCTTCAATTCATTTGTGTCTTTTTAGGGTTTGTCTCCCCCGCTCTTAAAATTCACGTCTTTTTTTCCATTATTTTTTTTTTCCTTGCCATGCTGACGGTTGATGGCGCAGATTTCCTGCACTTTTCTTCATTTTCTAAACCGTCAGCGATGAATTCGTAACAAAATTTCAATTGAATTCTTATTTTTTTTTTGTTTTTAATTTTCTGACAGAATCAATATTATTTATGCATGCTTCTGTCAGGTTTCTGGGATGATTTTTTCCTCTGATCAATTTGGTTCTGCCTTTTGCGAACCCAGTTGTTCCTTTTTTTAATGTTTAATGATAAATAATTTTGTCCTTCTGCATTGCCCTCTTGAAAGATCTTTCTGGGTTGCGCTGTCCTAACGAAAAAGTTGACTTTTTTGGCTGAAGATTGTGGTCATAATTAGAAAATGAAGCTTGTGGTTCGTGTGATTGAGGCAAAAGACTTGGCAATCACGGATTCCAATGGGTTAAGTGATTTGTACGTGCGAATACAGTTGGGGAAACAAAAGTTCAAGACCAAAGTGGTGAAAAGTTTGACACCATTGTGGGATGAACAGTTTACTTTTTGGGTTGATGACCTCAAGGATTCGCTTGTTGTATCTGTAATGGATGAAGATAAGTTCTTTAATCATGACTATGTGGGACGGGTTAAAGTGCCTATCTCGCTTGTTTTTGATGAGGAAATTAAATCCCTTGGCACTGCTTGGTACTCTATGAAAACCAAAAACAAGAAGGCCCCCAACAAGGAATGTGGTATATTGTGCGACTGTTTTTATGGCATTGTTTGTTTCCTTGTTTATTTTATTATTATGTGAAATTCATGCTGTTATTACATTGCTTTCATGCTAATGTAGCCGACTGATCACGGAGTATAAATGGCATTGTGTCCAGTTTGAAGGGCAATCTGCATCCAGTCCTTTTGGAAAATATAGTGCTCATCTATGGATCATGCTATTCAACTTAAATCATGACAATTGCTTTCCTTTTCTGGACAGGTGAGATTCATTTGAGTATATACATTAGCCAAAATAATCCATCTTTGGAGTCAAATGACATTGGTGATCAGTTATTACCTCCAAGATGTCCTGATGCAATTAGCCCTTCTCCCTCGAGATCTTTCAACAGCCTTTCAAACTCATCTTCTCTAAGGGAAGAAACTGCGTCTACCAGTTCTAGGGAGGATAAATCTTGTACACAAAAGTCACTTGCTGGCCGAATTGCTCAGATTTTTAATAAAAGTTCTGCTGATCTGTCTTCAATTTCACCTAGTAGAAGCATTGACTCGGACCAATCTGAAACAACCAAAGCTGAAGTTGGTGAGATCAAGATTGAGGAGGAACAGTCCTCTAATGAAACATTTGAAGAAGCTCTAAAAAAGTTACAGTCAGCAGATCAAGGAAGTGAAATTCCTAACGATTTATCAGGAGGAGTGCTTATTGATCAATTATATATTATTGCACCAGAAGACTTGAATGTATTACTATTTTCATCTGATTCTAATTTTCCCAAGTCATTATCGGATGTACAGGGTACTACAGAACTGCAAATTGGTCCTTGGAAGTTAGAGAATGGCGGGGAGACCTTGAAAAGATCACTTACTTACACCAAGGCTCCCACTAAATTAATTAAGGCTGTCAAAGGCTATGAGGATCAGACATATTTAAAAGCTGATGGGAAGAACTTTGCTGTTTTGGCCACTGTCAGCACTCCAGATGTTATGTATGGCAGCACCTTTAGGGTAGAAATACTTTATGTGATAACACCTGGACCAGAGTTGCCATCAGGGGAACAGTGTTCACGTCTGGTGATATCTTGGCGAATGAATTTTGTACAGAGCACCATGATGAAAGGAATGATAGAAAACGGAGCTCGGCAAGGTATGAAGGAAAGCTTTGATCAGTATGCTATTTTGTTATGTCAGACAGTAAAGCCTGTTGAAACAAAGGACCTTGGTTCTAGTAAGGAACAAGCTTTGGCAACATTACAGCCAGAGCCCCAGTCAGACTTGAAGCTGGCAGTACAGTATTTTGCTAACTTCACAGTTTTCTCAACATTCTTGATGGTCTTGTACGTGCTTGTCCATATTTGGCTGGCAGAACCTGGCAAAGTTCAAGGGCTTGAGTTTGTTGGCCTTGACTTGCCAGATTCTATTGGTGAATTTGTTGTTTGTGCTGTCTTGGTTCTTCAAGGCGAAAGAGTGTTGGGTTTAATCTCACGCTTCTTGCAGGCCAGAGCACGAAAGGGTAATTCCTTAACTACATTTATTTTTATAACGATCCTTTAATTTGATAATGTACTTGATTTTAAACACTCATCTGACTGCTCTACCGCAAGATAGAAAAACACTCATCTGACTGGGTGTATATCAGAGCAAATGAAAATTCTCTTTTCTATTGGTCAAAGAAACATGCTTTACGAGAGGAAAAACAATATAAAATTGGGAACAGACCCTCCTAAGAAAAACAGAAAGATAAGAGAAAAAAACCAACGCAAGTCAAATTGCATAATATATATTTAGCACAAAAGTAATTTCTATATCTATGCATGAGTCTGTCAAGGATTGCCCATAAAAGATGTAAAGCAATAAATCACTGGTTAAATAGCCAAGTTTATAGTCTATCCAAATAAATAATTGATGGAGAATTGAATTCCATAAAGCCTTGTACTTCTGATTGAGAAAGAGCTCTCTTAACAGAGTTAAACCCAAAGGTGAAGAATGGGGTTCATGTTTTGCTCAGACACTGCTCTGGATTTTATTAAGAGAGCTCGTTTTGTAAACTTTTACAGCTGTACAAAGTAATAACATATAAATATAAAGATACAAAGCTAAAAGAATTGGAATAATAGACACACCCCTATATATCTAAAATGCTCTGAAGTATCTGGACAACCCTTCTTTTCATAAAAAAAAATAAAAAATGGTTTATTCCAAAGTTTCCAGGTTATACCACAAGCAACAATTACTTGAACTCTAGAAATATACAACAAAGACATTAGAAAATAAAGCTTGATGCAGCTTTTGTGCATGGGAAAAGAATTGTGTTAAACATACATAGTATGACAGGCTTAATGATATCCTAAATGTTTCATGGAACCATAAGTTTCCCAGAAGAATTGCTATCACAAGATATGTTTGCAAGTATAGTAACAGGTATGCCAGTGAATGAAATTCCTGTTTTTTATTGTTAAAACTTGTATCCTTTTATTTGTATGGAGGAAGCAATATGAGTCTGACAAATGCTAAAGTATTCTGGACCCAGAAATTTTCATTCAGTTACTTTTTATTTGAATTAATTAATTTTTTTATTACCTGTCCTATCGTTTCTTTTTGATGGGTTAGCCATGAATATATTCTCCCTTGTTTCTTAATTACTTGGCCCTTATTTACTTTATTTGGTGTCTATATGCCTTTGCTGATATAGTTTTTTGTGGTACTCCAATATTAGGTAGTGATCATGGAATTAAGGCTCAAGGAGATGGATGGCTGCTAACTGTGGCCTTAATTGAAGGAAGCAATTTATCTAATGTTGATTATAGTGGGTTGTGTGATCCATATGTGGTGTTTACTTGCAATGGGAAAACAAGAACCAGCTCAATCAAGTTCAAGAAATCTGAACCTTTATGGAATGGTGAATATATTTGAAATCTAATACATTATCATTAATCTGAACTTCCACTGATCTAACAAATAAGTCTAATTTTCCCCTACATGTGATCTGGATTATTGTAATTTGTATGATAAAGTTTTTTAAGAAAATTGCTGATCGTTGCAGAAATATTTGAATTTGATGCAATGGATGACCCTCCTTCTGTGCTGGATGTGGAAGTTTTTGATTTTGATGGACCCTTTGATGAAGCTGCATCTCTAGGACATGCTGAAATCAATTTCCTTAAAACAAACATTTCAGATCTTGCTGATATATGGGTTTCTCTTGAAGGAAAGTTGGCTATGGCATGTCAATCTAAGTTGCACTTAAGAATTTTCTTGGACAACACTAGAGGTGGGAATGTTGTAAAAGACTATATAAGTAAAATGGAGAAAGAGGTGGGGAAGAAGGTAAGGATCCATCCTATGTTGCAAGACATTTGTTTTTATTTTTAATTTTGTTGTACTTATGTTTTATCACCCTTTTCTTCCTTTTTCCTCTTCCTATTTACAAATTTGTAGATTAATATGCGGTCTCCTCAAACAAATTCAGCCTTTCAGAAACTCTTTGGCCTTCCACCTGAGGAATTTCTCATCAATGACTTCACCTGTCATTTGAAAAGAAAAATGCCCCTGCAGGTGTGGTTGGTCTGTCATGTGGTGTTGAAAGCCATGGTCAAATTCTATTTTGGTTTTAACTGGTTCATGTTTCTTTTGAATTATCTAGTTTAAGTTGCTGCTGATTGTTCTTGGCAGGGCCGCCTATTTGTTTCAGCAAGAATAATTGGATTTCATGCAAACTTGTTTGGACACAAGACCAAATTCTTTTTGCTTTGGGAGGACATTGAAGACATCCAGATCATTCCTCCTACATTTTCGTCAATGGGCAGTCCGATAATTGTCATAACTCTTTGGCCAGGAAGAGGTGTGGATGCGAGGCATGGTGCAAAAACACAAGATGAAGAAGGCAGACTAAAGTTCCGTTTCCAGTCATTTGTGTCTTTCAATGTCGCAAACAGGTAGACCAGGAACATTTTATGTTATTGTACAAGCTTGTTTTTTCTATATACTTATCTGCATATCTGCAGGACTGCTGCAACATCTATAAAATGTTTTCTGTTCTCTGTTTTACCTATTTTATTTACCCTGGTAACTTTTAGGTCTATAACAGAACCAGTAGTATCATTTTGAATTTAATCTTTGAGGTTGTTTCTGTGTGAAATAATAATGCACTTAGGAAATAGTATCTTCATGTAACCCTGTATTACATGATAAAATGCATAATTTCTAATAAAAAAAATGTATAATTCATGGGAACTAGTGTTCAGGAAGTTGGGCTGAATTAATATTAACCTAGAAAATAGCTCTACTATGTTATTAAGAGTGTATATATATGGATGCTATGCATATATGTACACATTCTCTTGAATAAGTATTCTTATTCTGATTTCTTTCTAAAGTCTAAAACACTTTGTTCTATTTTTCACCTTCTTACCCCCACTAAATTCAACAACTTTGATTATGAGTTTATGTCGAAGTGACAATTCACATTTTCATCTCTTTTGATTGATTCCTATCTTGATATTCTAAAGGAAACTGTTAAGGTGTAAACTTCTATTTATATTTTCCTTTGTTGTAAATTGTAATGTACTGGAGGAACACAGAATATTAGGAGTCTTACAGGGAATAAAATAAGTAGCTTAATGCGGTACTTGAGCCATGAAGCTCTCCCACATAATGAACTATGTTTTTTGGGTTGAGAACTCCTCGTGTTTAAGTCCTAACTATTGTTGCTTTAATTGAAAGTTGAGCTACCGAAAGGGTTACCTGTAGGTTGGATTAAGGTGCAATACTGGATACTAGTATGTGAGTGAAGTTGTCAAAGGGAAAATGACTACCATTTAGAGTGAAAGTCATTGTGGAAGTCAGCTCTTAAAAGGGTGTCATGTTAGGAATTCCACATTAAATAGAATAAGGAGTTCGATATGGTATTTAAGTTATGAGGTTCTTCCACTCAATGGGTTGGACGCTCTTCATGTGCTAAGTGTGAAAGTGATTTGCTTAATGTACTTATGCGTTTACATTGCTGCTTAATATCAAATTACTTACTGATGGCTGAGGAAGAAAAGCTTTGCTAATTTGTGATTTTTGCTTTCTGTTCATCAAGCTTTGGTTTCCTAATTGTTTGTATAATGCTTTGTTGTATTAAATATCTGATAATGTTTTCTTCCAATTATGTTTGATTATCATTTTTTTTGACAATGATGTAGTTGTTTTTCAACTGCCACTATGCTCCAACTAGTTCATGTGTGAAATGCTGTGACCACCTAAAAGAGTGCCTGTTTTTGGAGGCTTGGTCGTCCAACTTTTCATAAGATGCTTTGAATTTTGAAGAAATTATCTGTGAAACTAATGGTGACAAACTACATTATAAAATATATCCATTTTACTAAGTCAAACTATTCTGGTGCTGATATAGGACTATCATGGCTCTTTGGAAGGCCAGATCCTTGAGTCCCGAGCAGAAGGTCCAGTTAGTTGAGGAAGACTCTGAAACTAAAAGCCTTAGAAGGGAGGAGAGTGGATCATTCATTGGTCTTGGTGAAGTTAACATGTCGGAGGTTCATTCTTGTGCTCTTTCGGTTCCTGTAATCTCTCTTTCTCTCTCTCTAAAAATTATTGGTTCCTTATTCAATTTTACACAACATGATCAATGGTTGTGTTTGATTATAGTTTGTCATGTTTTAATTAATTTAGGCCAGTTTCTTTATGGAGCTATTCAGCGGGGGTGAGCTGGATCGTATGTTCATGGAAAAATCTGGTTGTGTTAATTATTCTTATACCCCTTGGGTATCTGAGAAGAGTGATGTTCATGAGAGGGCAATATATTACAAATTTGAGAAGCGTATTTCACGTTATAGAGTTGAAGTAACGAGCACTCAGCAAAGATCTTCTTTGGATGGAAAGGGTTGGAAGTTGGAAGAGGTTATGAACTTCCATGGAGTTCCTCTTGGTGATTATTTCAATGTAAGCAAGCCAAATTTAGTTTGTTCCTAAACTTTTTATGGCTTATTTGTTATATCTTAGCTTTCTTGGCTTACCTATTTTTGTCATCTTACTTTCGGTTTGTCTTTTGTAACATTGACTTGTGTCTTCTAATAATGTTCTACAGCTGCACACTCGCTATCAAGTTGAGGATTTACCCCAGAAGACAAAGAATTGTAAGGTACATGTATTCTTTGGAATTGAATGGCTGAAAAGTACAAAACATCATAAAAGGATTACAAAGAACATCGTAAAAAATCTGCAAGAACGTTTGAAGCTGATATTCAGCCTGGTTGAGAAGGAGTTTTTGGCTAAATAACAAATGAATCATCATACTGAACTTGACCTTGTACAATTAGGGAAGGTATCTGATATTCTTGCAGCCCCATTACAATATAGATTCCAGTATGAAAGTTTTGCACACGTCTTTTTCAGGCATTCCTTCAACATTTCATCTGAGAAAAATAGTTCCTCAAATTCTATGAAATGTTTTAGAATACTCTTTTCTTGAATTTCATTCATGAATTTTTTTGGATTGCCTAGTTTTCCACCAATTAATAAACCAAGATTTCAGACCACACACTTCTTTCAGAACAAATATTATCCTCATTCTTCAGCTTAGACCGGAATATATGATGACTTCAGAGTAAGGTCCATGTGACTGTGCTAAATATCAGTGGAGCAAGTCTGCTAGTGATGCAATCTATGCGTGACCTCTGGATTTGACTCTGGTAGGTTTTACTTTTCTTTCAACCGTCGTAAAATCACAGCTAAATGATGCTGAAACTGATTTAGCTATAAACATACTGATCTCCTACCAAATTGTTCTTCAAGCCAGATTACTGATTGGAGATATTACTAACTGTTCTGCAGTGAATGACTAATTACACTCTGTGGAAGATACTCAGATTGCATCAGCAGTTGCTAGCCGTCCAAATTTTAGTTTGTGGAGTATTCTGACTACTAAGATGAAAAGTTTGCATCTTAACGAGGGTCCTGTAATGTATCATGTGTTATAGCTGCTGCTGTCTTTGCTTCCATAGTACAAGTGATAAAATGTTAAACACATGTAAGAGAAGCTTTGATTGTTGTAAACAATTTTGGGGCCTTATTTCATAAAGTATATCTCACATTTCCTTGTAAAGTGTTTTTTAATTAAAAGCACAATCAGAACTATGAATAGACCTACCACTTGGGTGAATCACAGGAATTAGCTTAGAAATGTGAGCTGATAACAGATGGATATGGGCTGGAAGTCTTGAGAAAAAAAAAAAAAAAAAAGTTATTTATTTTAGTCGTTATATTGAGAAGACCTTGTTATATTAGTTCCTGAAATTAAAAAATTATCAAATAAGCTCATAAAATGTCAAATAAGTCCTTCTATTTAACTACTTACTATCACTTTAATTCCTAAATATATATTAATATTATCACTTTTCACATATTTTAAGTTTTGGACTAGTGTGATTGTCAACTTATATTTTCAAAGACTTATCTTACAATTTCATAATTTTAGGGACCAATATGATTGTATTTTTCAAATTCAAGGACCAATATATGGGTGTTTGCTCTAAAAATCAAAATAAAAATACATGCAATAAGCATGCTTTACCTTGATAAAATATATATAAAAAAAATTCTACTTATAATCAACTTCGAATAAGGTAAACAAGAGAAACTATAACAAGAGTATAGAGGGGAGTCACAACAAAATGTAAGCTTTTTTAAAAGATTGATATGTTGAACTTGTTAAATACTAAAATAATTTGAGATGTAATATTTGAAACACATAAGATAACAACCAAAATAAAATAGGGTGATATTTTGAACTTAATATTTTAATTGTAATTTTCTGTTTAAAATATGTGTGCTTATATGTATAAACAAATAATAATGGAGTATGACATTGTTTCTGTGTTGCGGATATCACAAGTTGACATTTTTTTTGTGTGGGGGGAATGATACTTTACATGTGTCTCGATGTATGTATTTTGTTAAATATATTTCAAACCTGCTGTTGCTTGTCTATCTGGTTCTCTCTGCGAGAATCATACCAAAGGGTGAACAACAACCATGTTATCTTTACTGTTTTATATTTTAGGAATTGAAATAAATAAATATTCACATTTTATGATCATGAACATTTAGGTTCATACACTTTTCTTCTATATGTATCTTACATTTAATAACTTATAATCTCTAGGATTTGTGTAGTTTCAATATATGTGCTTAAAGTCATTGTATCATATATAGTGACTTGTATATTTATATACTAGTATGTTTGCAAGCAAACTAATTAAGAGAAGTCAATAAATTAAATCAAATTTCTAAAGAAAAATATAAAGGGTTTTCTTCTTTTTCTTCTTTATTTTTTCCAATATTAAGCATTAATTAACTGTTTTTTTATTATAAATATTATAAGAGTAGTGGACAGTCATACATATAATTACTACTTGTTGCATTCATCACTAAACAAACAAGAGTAGCTAGCATTTCTACTCAATACAAGTTCAAGAAAATTTAGAAAAATATTTCATAATTGGAAGAGGTATGATCTGTTCACTGGTACTGCAAGTTGTGTTTGCTTCCTCAGTAACAGCCTGCAAGATCCAATAGAATTCCATCATGGCAGAAGCTTTCATACAAAAGTGATGCTTAAAATATTCTTTTACTCCCTCAAATTTAAAATAAATATTTTTAGTCTTTATAAAGACTAAAAGGATATTACAAAACTACAAGTATAGAGATTATAAAGACTTATATTAAATTATAAGGATTAAAAAAGATTGAAAAAATAAATATATAAACTAAAAAGATTCATTTTAAACCATAAATAAAAAAAAGGTATTTTAACCAAGAATAATTTTAGGCAAGGTAAAATTTTGCTAATCAACCTTTTGTGTATTTTTGTGAGTGTTTACAAAATTGATTTTGATAATTAAAAAAAATTAACAATAAATTATATACATAATTTTTTAACGTTTTTTCATTCAAGAATGAATACTTAAGATTAAAGTGTGTTTAAGAATAATATTTTAAAAGTGAGTAGAGATGAATTAATTTGACCGGATGATAAAGTCATTTTTGAAATGTAAATATAATTATATTTTGAGTCTCACGTCAAGAATCAATTTGATTCATTGAAAAAGTTAAAATTATCTATTTCTCTGAACATAGAAATCGAATCCTTCCATACCGTGTGGAAGTCTAGACTTAGATCAAGTTTAAATCGTTAATATATATTAATCTTATAGTTTGTATTATGTTAATATATATGATAATTTTGATTAATTTTGTGACAATCAATTAGTTAATTTAATTATCGAACAATCAATCATCAGTTGCAAGTAAATTTGTAGATATTATAAAGTCACCAAAAATTAAAGTTTGGAGTTAGTTAAGGATAAAAAGGAAAAATTCGCTTAGTAAGTTCTTGAATATTTAATCTAAATACTGACTTGTTTAGGAGTGATTTATTAAAAGATTTGTTAGGATGAAATATAATTAATATTTATTGATGACAAAATATATCTAAATTACTTTATATATTAATATACTATGAATAGTAGGATTAATGTATATTAATGGTTTAGATTTGATGCAAGTCTTTAAATATATACTTAATGTAAATGGATCTTTAGCTATGACAAAATTGATTTTCGAGAAATAAAATTATGCTAATCAACTTTGGGGCAATTTAGGAGAGTGTTTACAAAATTCACTTTGATAATTAAAAAAGAGTTTGACGTGTTATAAATTTAAAAATTAACTATCTTAAAATAAAAAATAATGTAAAATTCTCAATTCAATGCAAAGGTAACATGAAAGTTGCTTCAACTATATAATCAATTATAGGTGTCTTTTCTCATTTTTTCTAAACATCTTTAAAATCATGGTGATAGTATGAAACATGAGTTTTGGTTTTAGCAGACACCAAATCAAGTAGTATGATTTTTTTTTCTTTCATTGTGAAAATTAAGCTATCCAAACAGTACTAGTACTATTAGGATTGATTGAAATTAAGGCTTATTTATTGGTTACCTGTGTTGGGAAATTGATATCAGATACGGAAAAAGCCCTTCTTAGTCCACATAATCTACCCGCAGGTTTAGAATTTGGAAAAATCTATAAATAAAAAGGAATGAGAATTAAATTGAAAAGAGCCATGGAATATCTTTCTACAAAATACTGTCAATAATAGAAATGACATGAATTTAGTTGATATATTAAACTTTTAAAACGCAAATTATTTATGTGTTAAATTTACTTGAACAACACCATTCTGGACCGATTAAATATATTATAAACACATACATTTCTAGTGCAATATATGAGAATAGTTAAGTAAATTTAAATTATATAATAGTCATGCTAATAAACCCAAAGTTACATAGTGACCAGTCATAGTCAATATATATTTACTTTATGAATAGTGTGGACAAAAATTGACCAAATTTCTAAATTAAGAGAAATGCATTCTGGAATGGAGATTTCTTCTTCTTCTAAGTACTGATACCCAAACACTAATTCAGCAGTTGGAGTAAAATAAGACTATTGTGAGCATTTTGTGTTTTACTTAAAATCATTTTCTTATTCTATCACGAATAACCTTATTTTTGGAGAATGGTGAGTTATGAGAGATGAAAAATATTGGGGGTAAAAGGGTAAAAAATAGATGGTCACCTGTACAACTTTTTTCCTCAGTTCTATGTCTGCCTTCAGCTTTAAGACTTTTGCTTCAAGGTCTCGCATATGAGCCTACACGTTCATAGAATTATGATGTTTTAATGCATGTGAGACACATACAATTATAATTTTGTGGGATATGTTTTATTTATTTTTTATCTTGTTTTTCCGGGGTTGCACCAATTACCTGTTTCTTCTCAATTGATTTTCTGGCTGAAATTCTATTTTTGAGCTTAATCTCTCTTCTCCAAAGAATATATTCTTCAGTACCCTTTTTCAGTCTTCTTCTTCTAATCCATCTTGGTGCTTCACCTTTTGGATCATGTTGCAATGGCTGATTAACGTTCAAATTATGTTTCACCACATCTAATGTATCACTATTGTCAACAGATGCAAACAGTGAATTATGATCTATTTTGTTTTCATGGTCACCCGTGTTATTTTCTGTTTCATTAATATTGGTGAAGAATTTATTCAGAAAATCAAAGTCAAATACAAAATCGTATAGTTCATAATCACTAATGGAATTAATATTCATTCTTAAAATCAAAGACTTTTTTTTATCCGTAAATACTTTTGTTTATTTTAATTATATCTTTGTCTGAGAAATTAGAAGAAATGGACAATAAGATTGAAAATATATTAGATGTATTAACCCCAAAACTTATTGGCATTTCGAGTTTAAATTAGTGTATTTATGTAAATTTAGTTTTGTATAAATTTTGCATGCATTGTTGATTGGAATATATATCGATTAGTTTACACTACATGTTTTTCATTTTTTAAGTACAAAGTACAGGCATGTTTTTAATTTTATTCCTGCAGTAATCCCTTATCATTATGTATTGAGAAATTTTATTTATACCTTTTTTTCTTCTTTCAAATAAGAAATAGACAAAGAAATGATAGGCTTTTCTTTTAATTAATCAAAGTAGAATAATTTTTTCAAACTCTTTAAAATAAATAAATTAAGAAAATCAATGATGCATAAGTCATATGAAACACGACTGTAAAAATGGAAATTATATTTTTAAACATAACCCTTGTTTATAAAAGAAAAATATATAATTGTGGTTGAAATTACAACTAAAAATGACTATTTTATTGTGAGAAATAAAAAAAAATTATTTGTGTTTTATAATATGACACTTATTTTTATTTAAATGAAAAAGAGAATTATTGTTAAGATAATTATTTTCAACATATTTAAAAAATAGTTTTAAAATAAGATTGAGAACATATATACATTCCATATTCATGCGTTCTTTAGAAGTCAATACTTAATATCAGAACATGTATTTTTCATTCAATAATGTAAATATTCCCACGTCTAAAACAAATTGGAGATACCATTGGCTGGAAAATGTAACATTTTTCTATTTTATTTATGTTTTGGGATGTATAAGATTGAGAACATACAGTCCATATTCATTCACTATTCGATCAAGTGTCACAAATATCTCATGGGACCCAAACAATACGTATGTGTGTCTGATTATGCTGTATATATCCAAAACACGTTTCTATAATTTTGCTTAAAGAAAAGATCCCGATTTGTCGTGTGAAAGAGCATCATAAATCACAAAATTCAAACATTATAATTATGGCCCTTTAATTAATCATAATCCCATGTTTTGAGTGTTACACTTTAAATAATAGTTATATCTGTCAAGTGATTTAATGTTGGTGCAGTTTCATTTAAGGTTATAATTAAAGAATAAAAATAAAAGATTATGAAAATTATAATATATTTACTCCCTCATCTCTAATTAATTAATTAATGCAAAAAAAAAATTATTATGACAGATTGAAGTAAAATGTATAAGGTGTTTATAATTTTTTATTTTTTTATTGACATAATATATATATATATATATATATATATATATATATAATTTTTATTAGTTACGCATGTAAATTGATGTTCTTACAGTACATTGAATATGTATTTTATCCACTATTTATATATTGAACTCAAAGAATTACTTAAATTAAAGATATTTTTTAAAAGAAAATAAATAATTAATGAGATATTTTACATTAGTAATTTTATTTTATTTTTATAAAAATAAAACACAGTCTCTGACTTGATTCTTATTAAAATTTAAAATATTTTTATTTTTAATTAATATGTTTTATGTTTTTAAGCATAATGGTTTCAAACCTACATATTTAAGTCTCTCACCACTATTTTTATTTATTTTAGATTTATAACAATAATGTACTACATAATATCATTATGTAACTTGAAATTTGAGAAGTAAAATATTTGTATTAATAACATGATTATTAAAAATAATATTATTAATAAAAAAAAAACTCACTATAAACAATAAATCATGATAAGATATAATATATAAAAAATACATTTTCAATGTATTAATACAAAAGGGTATACAAAGATATTGACATAACATTTAAATTTGAGATATTCTTCTTATAAGTATAAGATATTCAATTTGGAAAGCACAAAAAATAATTTTATTTTATTTTTAATTGTGGCAATATGAAATGATAAAAATTAAATAGTAATTCTAAATAAATATTATAACTATATAAAGTAATTTAATATGCAATTGTGATAACAAAATTAAGATTTATGAATAACACAAAACTTAATAAGAAATTCATTATATATAATATATTTTACGCAACTAAAAATGTCTTCATTTATATTACATTTAGATCTTTTACAAAAGTAGACATAAGTAGTAAAAAAATATATATATTTCAACATTGTGCAACAAATGTTTTTAAAATGAAATAGATCGGTAAACCGATTAAGATCTGATTTAAGATTTAGCGTTTGACTGTGGTTCAACTGTAATTGAATTAATATTAATAAATTAATAGTAATAATTAAATAATATATAAAATAACATTAAATAAATATAATATCATAATTTTATAAGACTAAAATTTAAAATAAAATATCATTCTATAAGTTCTTAACATTTAAAAATATAAATATAATATTTAAGGTTGAATTTTAATAAAATATAATAATAATAATAATAATAATAATAATAATGTCAATTAATAATACCAAATTTATATATGGAGTAAAAAAAATTCAAACTAACATAATATAAAATTGTTAAATATATCAATGGATGCATTATATCTTTATAAAAATTATTAAAAATAATATATAAAATAATTTATTCCAATTTATATATTTATTTATCTATTTTGCTTACAAGAGGAAGAAACCAAAACTATTGTAGTCCTCTAGGGAGGTAATTTAGTATTTATAATTTTAGTCTCCGAAATGAGAAAGTTGAAATAGGTGATTTTGAAATTAAGAGCAAAACGTGGTTAGCTTTAGAAATAGAAAGGCAAGGGTTTGCAAAATAATACACAATATCTGACATGCAGGATTTGCAATAAGATTCGTGGACAAGGGAACCAAATAGGACCAATGCATTCAATGAAGCCCATTAGTCAAACAAACTTAACTTGACTGCTGAGAAGTGAGAAGTGATGGAGTATGAATTGATTACGCCCATTTTGAACCAAACCCTTTCCAACCCATACTTATTGCATCCCATGTCTATACCAATCTATGTTTCATGCTTTCTTAAATCTCAATCTTTCAACTCCCACCTTCACTAACCCAGACATAATCATAACTAATTACCAACTGCTTTTTCCTCCTTAATTACCCTCTTCCCGATTCTTCCTTTTCTTTGTATTCATGTTTTGACAATTTCCAAACAGTGTGTGGTATTGGTAGGTTAGAATAGAGACCGTCTAGTACGTACCTTCAGAAAAAGCAAGTTAGGTCATAGCTGTAGTGACTCCCTACCTTTTAAATTAGCAACAAAAATAAAATGGTGATCAGTCATTTCCTTTGCCCTACTTAAATAACCTCTACCTTCTTTTTACAATCTTAATTGGACTCAAAACCATATGTATAATTCTTTCTCTCTTTCTAATTACTCGTACAAAATAACTAATTTATTTATTTTAAGAAATTCAAGTGCGAGCGAGGAGCCCAATTAAGGAAGAAATGAAATTAGGCAAATTATTTATATAGAAAGTTCATGATAACGTACGTGAGCTATATATGCATACATATACTTAATTTGTTATAATTTGACATTAAAAATATGAATTATACTTCATCTGTTTTAATATGGCACCGATCACTGGATGTAACAAAAAGTTGGAAGTTTCCCTTTCGCGAAGACATGATAAGCTAATCAACGGATTTAAAACCTGCGGGTAGGAAGATCTTCCCGGGCATAAATTAAGAAATCTAACCAAGAAAAAAGTGAATAATGTGAGACAGCTAGTTGATTGAGTATTACATCAAAAGTTGGGCAGTTTCTTTCACCCCTTTGAAATTTAAAATAATACATATATATCCATATTCATAGCATGACTCAATAATCCTGAATAATTAAATTATATTTAGAAAGTTTTCCTTTTATAACCTTGTATCATGATGCAAGGAGAAATATGGCTGAGCAAGGTTAAGACGCAAAAAAGCACATCAATTAAAGTGCTTCACACAGAATGAACAAAATGTGTTGGTATCAGACTGTCAGAAGAGGACTATCTTCATGTAAAGGCACATGGTCGGCTTCACTTTTTTCACCCCTTTTTAAACATTAATTTGGATACTCAAAATAAAAACAAAATCTAATTAATAAACCCGAAAGAAAATGATGATAAAGATCTCTATGATCATGATCATGCTATTGAGATCATGATGCTCATCATGCCCATCGTCATCTCCTGGTCATAGCATCATTTCATTTGGGTAGGACCATTAAGGAAATTGCCTTGAAACATATAATTTTATATAAAGATATAGATGTGTTACTGTGTTATGTACATACATTTGGTTCTAGCCTTGTAGGTGTTTAAGATTGACACCAATACCAAACCCCTTGTTTTTATCCTCCTAAGTCATAATCTATAAGGCTATTAAATCAATAGTTAGGACATCTTGGTTGAGGCAAAGGGATTGAATGGATTGGTGGGGTTCATAGTGAATGACAGAGAATCATCTGGGTCCCTAAAGGGTGAGCAAGACGATTGACGCACGAGTGAATGAACAGTAGAAGGACACACGCATGAAGGATTAAGCAAAATGAAAGGGTGACGCGGAGGATAAAGAGAATTGTTTGTCTGTGTTTGGCCTCCAAAACAACCAACACACAAGTCAGACCAATCCCATCACCAAGATATAACCAACGGCACAGGGAAGGACACGTGGCTGACATGCACATAACCCATTAGAATATTATGCCAATACAATATGATATGATATATAGATAATCAAATACTTAGAAATTTAATTTTTAATTACATTTATGCATATGAAATAACATTGATAAAAAAGAACTCTTACGCTTTAAATAAATTTTAATAATTTAAAAGATTAGCCTTTTAACTTTCTATCAGATTTTAAAAAAATATATATATATCCCAAGGTTTAGTGGGGGAAGCATGATGAAGAATGCACAGAGGATCTTTTTTCTATGCAGAGAGTTGGCCCCACGTAAGCTTCTTTTGAATTAGTATAGGAGCACTCCAAAGTCATAGCCCACTTGCACTGCATGCTTTTTGTAATTCAATCATAGAGCACCAATTTTCAAGCTCTTGGTGAAGAAGGAAAAGACACTGCTTCCTCCTTTTTTCCCATGTCCTCTTCTATTCCATTCTATTTACTATTCAATGAATTTATCATGGCATGCTTTTGATACATTACCATGTTGACTAATCCCAACGAACCACTCCTTCTCTCTCTTCTCTATGCTGTACCCCGTAACACTTGGTTAGGAGACATTGTGGTACTCATTTTTTCTTTAGTTGGTGTCTCCCTGGCTCTTTCTAACCGAAGCATAAGTTACAGACACACCCTATTCCCCCCCTCTCTCTCTCTGAGGATTACTTGCATAAGACTACTACTAAACCACTCAACTTTCAGCTTCTCATGTTCTTGTACGTTGCTGCTTCGCCACTGTATCTCTCTAGCTTCATTTTGCTTACTTACTGATGCTGTTTCATCTACTTTCTTCAATTTGTACTTTACTGTTATTTCAAAGATAGCAACAGGTATGTTCTCTAACTCTTGCTTTACTCTTTTAAATTCTTGAGACATTTCCAATTCCTTTCTTTAGTGTTTCATGTAGTTTTTTATTCTATAGACTATGGAGGGATAAATATTTAATATAGAAGTAATAGTAATTAAATGAAAGCATTGAGTTTTGATTTTGACTTCTCACTCCTTAAACAATTAAAAGCTTAAAGTTGCTTTTTTCTTTTTGCCAGAGGGTAATAAAAATATATGAGAACACACTGTAGGTTCTGCTTAAAAAATTCCAAAAGAAAAGGGAAAAAAGTAAATGATAAAAACCTTCTAGTGGGGTGGCAGGAGGGTAACTGGCAGAGAAATTATCAATTCCAGAAGAGAATGTCCACATAATTGGCTAAACACCTTAATGAATGCCATCCAAGATTGTAAAAATAGATGGCATTGATTCAGCATAGAGCAAAGTTAGCTGACATTAACCACACCCTTTTCTAAAATCCAGTGATGCTCTTGGAATTGGGATCTATGAGAATTGCCTTGAATTAAAAAGGTGCCATGGCTAGGCTTCAAATGCAATCTTATTTGAAAGAAAAATATGAATGGTTTTCATTCTTTTGTCTAGTTGAAAGCAATGAGTGTCATGCCACAAACACTGGTTTTTTACTTTTTGCTTTACCACCATTTGTCTGTCAAAGCACAGACCATGCTGCATGTCTCATTTTAACCAATGAACAGTGGGAACTGCCTAGTGCTAACATCATATCCTCTGTCAAAAACGTTTCTAGATTCTTCTTGCAGTACATTACTTTTTACCAAATTACATTGATACACCGAGATTTCTTGAGATTTTACATAACTATTGCTTTTTTAACGATTACCATAACTCCTTATAGAAGAATATTATATAATGTGTTTCTTAGGTTACAGAGGATATTAATGTAATGTATTTCAAGCATTTACGAATAAAAAAGAAAAGGGTATTACAAGAATTTTGATAAAATCTTAGGGGTGTCGTAGTAATTTACTCATTTTTTTTAATTATTTGAAAATTGAAGCAAATCTCATGCAAAACGTGAATGGCTGGATGATTTTATTAAATAAATCTGTACTGTACTCTTTCAGTAATTCCTGACTTAAATTGAAAAGAAAAGAGAAACAGATTGAAGAAAGGAGAAAAGGTTGGCTTCCACCTTTCTTGATTCCTACATGCTTAATGGGGAATAAGATAATTGAGATGACCATAGCAGTGGACCACTCTGGACCTATTAAAAGTTTAAACTGGAAAAAAAAGTACATTAGCTAATATTTCAAAATTCTCTATAGGCACGGTGAAAGTGACTTAACAAAGTAACCACACAAGAATTTATCGGTATTATTTGCCTTCGGTTAGGAAGCTTTTGGTAACATTAGTTTTAAGCCCGGTGCATCACTTTCTCAAGGATTTTCATATCATTGTCTGGACAAAGCCACGTATCTTTATATACATGGAATCAAAAGTGTATCTTCTAAAGAGATTGAGGCGTGTATTAGTACATACAGTATATGTTTCGTGATTTATATACACTTTTGAGCCAAATCTGAGCCACTGTAAAAGCTCTAATGATTTGTGTTGGCTCACCTAACACTTAATTCCCAACTTCCAAACATTGCATAAACATGCTTTACCACTATCCATTCTCTGGCCTAGACCCAACCGTCAAGGTAATCATATATGTTATGCATGCTCAGTGCATTTTCTGCCGTGGTGCTGCTTCTTTCTTCATTTGCTATTATTATTTATTTGTGTGGGGTTGGATGGCTATTCAATACCCAAAATACATGCTATTGGCTGCATATGCATTCTACTTTATAGTATTTTTTTTAGTCTTTCTACGACACAAATTTAAAGAAATTAGCAAGGGATCAAGTCATGTAAGGATATTATGACAAGAGTCAACGTTTTAACATAAAAATAATTAATTATAAGCATCACTTTCCATTTTTCAGCCCCCATTTTTTTTTCTTTTCTTTTATTCTTTAATTTTGGGACAAAACTCTATCGTTACTACCGTATTCGTATGAGAAACGTAAGATTATCTGCCAATGGTTACCAAATTTTCATGTTGTTCAGTTTGTGTTACATGTGTCAGGAACTGCAGAGGCAGAATAGCAGAAACAGAAGTGCATGTCATTTTGCAAAACTCTCTAAGGTCTAAGCAATTGTTATTCTTGGCGGATCATGACGGCATAAACTGGAATTTGGTTGTTTATTTTTTACTACTTTAATATGTGGACGACATCATCTTCAATGAATTGAAGGGCTTTCAGGATTGCATATAAAAATCAATGTGATTGGCAGTGGCAGAACCTTGGCAAAATAAATAGAAGTTGAGGTAAGATCTTCTCACAAATTTCTCTTTCTCCTTTATTTAGAGAAATTTCCTCATTCATAACCGACAGAACGACCAGGACAGGATATCATGTCATATTCTTCTACCTTCATCTATAGTGATTTCTGATTTCCTTGTCCTCCGTCCCTTTGCTTGAAATGAAGAAATCTAAGTTGGTGCTTCTGTATTATGCTGTTTCATGGTCATGCATCATGACATCACCCTTTGGATTTAGTTCTGAGAGGGTTACATCAACGCCTTCTGTTCTCTCTCTATGACTTTATGAGATCTATTGTAGAGTCGTTCAAGGTGTAGTCTTCCGAACTTGCAGGTTTTGAAGTAGAGGTTTTTTTTCTTCTGAAGATTTGGTAATACATAACAACAAATAAAAATGAAGTTCATGAAACTTGGGACAAAGGCAGATACATTCTACACTGAACAAGCTACCAGGTATTTTTCCCTTTGCAGCAACCCTTTCGTAAAAAATCCACTTAACAACCTTTTTACAAATTAACATGTATTCTCATAATCCAGGACTCTGATATCAGAGATAGCTGCAGACCTTGTGATACAAATCAATGACATCACTTATCTGTTACACAAGGTATTGGGATTAAAATGAAAATGCTGTTGTTGGGTGTGTGAAAAGATAAACATAAAACTATTCGTTGGTTCATCTATAATTCTGCTCTTTTTAGCTGCAGTTTCCGCTTCTTCCCAAATGTGGCCTTCTGCAAAGGCTTTGCTATGATACTAGTGATTCCGAGAGTGTCTCTCTGGAGCTTCATGATATACCTGGAGGAGAAGATGCTTTTGAACTCTGTGCCAAGTTTTGTTACGGAATTGCTATCAACATAAGTGCACATAACTTTGTACCTGCTCTCTGTGCTGCCAAGTTCCTCAGAATGAACGATTCCATTGAGAAGGGAAACTTTGTAGGAAAACTTGAATCTTTCTTCAATTCATGCATCCTTGAAGGTTGGAAGGATTCCATAGCAACGCTTCAAACTACTGCTAACTTACCAGAGTGGTCTGAGAATCTTGGTATTGTCAGAAAGTGCATTGATTCAATTATTGAGAAAATTCTCACACCCCCACCACAGGTCAAGAACTCAGATCCATCAAACTCTCACTTTTCTGCCACAGTTACTTGTTTGGATAATTTTTTTAGCTTATAAACGATGGTTCTGTGCAGGTCAAATGGTCCTACACCTACACCAGACCAGGTTACACCAAAAAACAACACCATTCTGTGCCAAAGGATTGGTGGACCGAGGATGTTTCTGATCTTGACATAGATCTTTTCAGGTGCATAATAATGGCTATTAGATCAACCTATGTGCTCCCTCCACAGCTTATCGGAGAAGCTTTGCATGTCTACGCCTGCCGGTGGCTACCCGGCATCACAAAGCTTAAAAGTTCTGGAAGTTCAGCATCTCAAACAGAAGAATCTAAGGAGAAAAACCGCAAAATTCTTGAAACAATTGTAAGCATGGTTCCTGCAGATAGAGGGTCTGTTTCTGTTGGCTTCTTGTTTAGGCTTCTCAGCATTTCAATTCACCTTGGTGTCTCCTCGGTCACAAAAACAGAACTAATAAGGAGAGCCAGCCTACAGTTTGAGGAGGCAACAGTGAGTGACTTGCTTTACCCTTCAACAACATCCTCTTCTGGCCAGAATTATTATGATACAGAGTTGGTTCTAGCAGTGTTGGAAACTTTCTTGAAGCTTTGGAAAAGAATGTCCCCGGGGGCTGTGGATAACAGCTACTTTTTGAGATCGATCAGAAATGTTGGCAAGCTCATTGATTCCTATCTTCAAGTGGTCGCAAGGGATGATAACATGCAAGTGTCAAAGTTCGTGTCTCTTGCTGAAACTGTGCCCAGTATTGCCCGTGAAGAGCATGATGATCTTTACCAAGCAATTAACATCTATCTTAAGGTGAAGTACACCTGCACTGCATTCACTGATTTTATTTTCTTCGCCCCTTGTTTGAATGCCGAACAGTTTCTCAAGGAAAAAATGACATTCACTACAAAAAAAAAAAATAATAATAAAAAAATCATTTACTAACCCAAAAAATATCGTGTCAACATTGCTTCTGTTTACAACTTCACATAATCTTAGTATAAAAATTATAGGTCTACATTATTATGATACAATAGGACCAACTTAAATGAGAAAAAAACTTAACATAATTACCAACATGATGTGATATGGTTGATAGATAGTCATGTCAGCATGTGGTCAGATGTTCGTTCCTGTGTTTGTATGGAATAACATATTTTTGAGGAATTAGTCTCTGACTCTTGGCAGAAAGATTCCTTGAGTTACCATTTACTGTAAAGTGTATACAAAATGTCCTTATTATAGTTTAATTAGTTTATGTTAGCAGTTTATGTTACAAAGAGTATACCAAAGGATTTATCTTTGATTTATCATTATGGTGCATTTGTGATTTGATTTAAGTTATATGCATGAACAGGTGCATCCTGAGATGAGCAAGGCAGATAAGAAGCGACTGTGTGGGATTCTAGACTGCCAAAGATTGTCCCCAGAAGTGCGTGCCCATGCGGTAAAAAACGAGCTTCTGCCATTAAGAACCGTAGTGCAACTCCTCTACTTTGAACAAGACAAAGGGTCTAAGGCAACCACCAGTCACAAACTTGCAAAGCCACATGAGATACTTCTGGGAGCAAAGCATAGACCAGCTACAAGAGATCATACCCAAAGCAAACAATCTTTAGGCCTAACTAAAGAAGAATTCAACGGAGAAGAAATTAGAGAAAAGGATCACCACAAAACTAAAAGATCAGATGGTAAGTTGGCATTGGACTTGGAAAAAAAGATGGTCATGAGAGGAGACATTGAGGAGACGCAGTCTGAGAAGGCCAGAGGAGTCAAAGATGAAAGTAGTTCAAGCTGCAAGGTGGACTTGGATCCCAAAAGAATCATAAGAAGGGCAAGAAGTAAATCTGAACATGGCGTGAAAAAGTAAGATTGAGATCACCGTAATAACAATAATAATAATCTTTCATGAATTCCTAGAAAATCACTGTCTGCGATCTGTAACTTCAATTCTTATTATTTCTTCTTTACCTTGTCATAAATGTAAGCAATGTATAAATCCTTTTGTACTATCTCTTTCCC